CACGAGGTTGGACAGGCGACCCTACTCCTTGTCACGTGCAACCGGGGATTCGAAACCCCGAGTTGACTCAATGACAGGCCTTATGATAAAGCGCGCACGTGCTAACCATTCGGCCACCCAACCACCCGATTAGTGTCAGGTTCTCCCACAGCACATTAGTGACATGGCTTATGTTCGACTTCACTAGCCCAATCGGTGCGACGTGACAAGGAGTAGGGTCGCCTGTCTAACCTCGTGGGTTTTCTCCGGGTCCTCCAATTTCTTCCCACTGCTAAAGACCCCTACGCGCAAGCGAACTATTGAAATATAATTAAACCATATGTTAGTCCCGAAATGACCTAGTCTGTGTCGAGTGGAGTTAAACATCTCTCTCTCGTCAATTAATCAATGCAAAACCTCCTTTTTTGTATACAGGTCACAATTCTATGGAATACAATTACTGCTTTTTACTGAGCGACGTTTCGACTAGGCTTCTCTAGTCATTATCAAGCTATGATAAAAAATGAAAATATGACAGGACAATATATACATGTACACCACAATGCTAAGTTAATGATGACAAACCAGGGATGTAACTTAATTACGTGTACCTAATGGTAATCTGATTTAATTGTACGCTAATAAGTAATACGTCAACTCGCTCCAGGTGGTAAAGTCGATTACCTAAGGCACCAAATAACTGAAATACTAGCAAAGGCATCTACCAAGCAGCAGACGACCAATGTGTCCCGCCAAGAAAGGAAAGCCCTCAATGACCTAAAAGACGACAGATCTATCACAATTGTTTCCGCCGACAAGGGAAAAGCAACAGTCATCATGAATACTCACGAGTACCTCACAACGGTCAACGGTTTACTCCAAGATCCAGCAACATATAGAAGAATCCGCAAAGACCCAACAAACGCGCACAAGGACAGCCATGAAAACTTGCTTAAAAAACTAAAAGAAGACAAACAGATCTCTGAAGCTCTCTATTACAAGCTCAGACCAAACCACCCTCGACCACCTTATGCCAGGGCTACTATAAAAATCCATAAAAACCCCATGAAAGCCCGTCTGCTGGTGTGTTCTCGAGATTCAGTCTTCTACAACACAGCCCAATATTTATCAAAACTACTTTCCTCACTTGGCACAACTGCATCGTCCTTCATCAAAGATTCAGGTGAATTCTGTGAGAAACTGCAGAATATTCAAAACCCCGGGAGGATGGTCTCATATGATGTTGTAGATTTGTTTACAAATGTACCAAGGGAAGAGGCCCTGAAGATTCTACGCAAGCGCATAGAAAGTTTAGAAAACCCACTAGAGACTTCCCTATCAACAGACAACATCATACTCTTGTTGAAACAATGCATCAATTCAACATATTTCTCCTGGGGTGACGATTTTTACGAACAGACCAATGGATTACCCATGGGAAGCCCCCTCTCCCCTTTAATTTCAGAAATATTTTTAACTGATTTAGAAGAGAAGGCGCTTCAAACATCCACCGTAACCCCAACATGCTTCTTTAGGCAAGTGGATGATACCTTTGTTATTATCAATCAACAAGATGATCCAGAAACACTGTTACAACACCTCAACAGGCAACACCCACGTAAAAAATTCACAATGGAAACCGAAAATGATAACCAACTACCTTTCCTCGATGTTTGTGTATCTAAAACCAACAACTCGATCCGCACCAGTGTCTATAGGAAACCAACTCACACCGACCAATACATTCACTTCAAATCTAATCACCCGAATAGCGTCAAATCGGCCACAATTTCAACTCTGGTGAACCGTGCGAAAAAGATATGTGATCCTGAGAGCCTCTCCAAGGAAATTGATCATCTCAAACATGTCTTCACAAATTTCAACGGCTATCCAGGGAAGTTTGTGACAAACGCCATCAACAAGACCCTGTCGGCGAGTGCAGCTAAACCAAAAACCCCGACTGCCCCAGTCAGAATCTTCCTGCCTTTCAACGGCAAAGTCTCCTACCAAATCAAACGGCTACTAATGCAACAACCAGAAATAGATGTAACTTTCACAAAAAGCTACAGCACTAAAGATATATTAAGAGCCAATGGTAAACAAAATCCTACACAACCACCACAACCAAAGGGATGTGTTTATCAAATAGTATGCAATTGTGGGATTGCATACATCGGGGAGACAAAGCGACCATTAAATAAAAGGATAGATGACCACAAGTCGAAAGCAGCAACCAACAACTCAGCTGTAGCTGAACATTTGAACTCCAACCCTCGCCACAGAGTCCAATGGTCCAACGTAAAACCACTATGCAAGAATATAAGCAACAAGAGAGCGCGCCGATTACATGAAGCCATTCATATACGACGACACAAACCAACGATGAACAGAGATCAAGGATTGTTCCTCCCCAGGGCGTATGATATTCTTATCACATAATCAAGGCTAAGCATAATTCTACTTTTTTCTTTTTTATCATATTTAATACTTATCAATATTCCAGTAATAACTTTAAGTTTGTAATAACCATCATAATATGCAAAAATGACAACTAATAATTCCCAACTATTTTTGCTTTTCAGGCATTTCTGCTTTTCAGGCCTGCGGTTATTGTAATTTAATGCACTCAATATTTCTAACCCTGCTTTTCTACATCACCATAACATCCAGTGAAGTACCACTCAATATTTTAAATTGTCAACCTTCAGGGGACTATTGATCATTTGTGCAGTCATTGTTCTAAGGGTTTTTCGTATATCAGTGTAATCACTCGCATCAACATCCACATATCAATTATTTTGGTCATAACACAAATCAAATCTCATCTTCGTGGGATGTTGTCATTATCAAAACCTCATCAAATCGTTGTAAATACTCCACAACAATCTATTCTTTTACCATTTGTATTTATTTCAGTGAAAGGGGTCGTTGATAACATTTCATCAATTTTCATTTTCTTGCAACGTTTGTATTATTAAAACCCACTAATCACTGTGTATACTCCACAACAACTTATCCATTAATCAATTAGTCAATTTTTTAGGTTAATTGGTATTATTACTTATTAGCGTACAATTAAATCAGATTACCATTAGGTACACGTAATTAAGTTACATCCCTGGTTTGTCATCATTAACTTAGCATTGTGGTGTACATGTATATATTGTCCTGTCATATTTTCATTTTTTATCATAGCTTGATAATGACTAGAGAAGCCTAGTCGAAACGTCGCTCAGTAAAAAGCAGTAATTGTATTCCATAGAATTGTGACCTGTATACTCTATTTCAATTACTAAATGCCATTGAAACACTCCTTTTTTGTGTGTGAGGGAGAGAAATGGGGTTTAGGTCATTTCGGGACTAACACATGGTTCAATATAATTTCTATAATTCGCTTGCGCGTAGGGGTCTTTAGCAGTGGGAGGAAACCGGAGGACCCGGAGAAAACCCACGAGGTTGGACAGGCGACCCTACTCCTTGTCACGTACAACCAGGGATTCAAAACCACGCCAGTCGACTCAATGACAGAGAGAGAGGGAGAGAAAGACACAGAGAGAGGCTTAACGTCCACTCGACACAGACTAGGTCATTTCGGTTCAACTTTACCCCCCCCCCCCACACACACACATAGACCGAGTTAATGAATACGAGCATACGCCATACACTGCGTTATGGGGGAAATTTGCCCGTCATTTCGGTTCAACTGATCACTGTCAGGACTTTTTTTATTTTACTTGCACACCAGCGTGTACACGGGATCTATTATTTTAAGTACCATTTGAACGACTAGACACTGTAGAAATCCATGCTAGAAAATACCGCCTTAAACAATTAGCCGAAATGAAATGAAATGGGGTTTAACGTCCTACTGTTTTGCTCCTATACTGGGCTAATGAAGACGGGCATACGCCATACAGTGGGCTATAAAGGAAATTTTGCCCGGGCAGCGGCACTATAGCCTACTCTTATATCGAATTCCAACTACCAAGGGATCTTTTACGTGCACGCCAATGTATGCACGGGGCCTCGTTTTTTCGTCCCATTCGAACGATTAGACAGCTTTCCTTGTCAGGCTCTCCATCCTGCTGCACCACTGACAAGGAGAAATCACGTCGGAAAATCCCAATGAACTTTCTCGGCCAATGTAGGGATCAAAACACATTGAGCCACTGCAGAACCTAGTGACGATGAATCTGGAAGACTATTAAACATACACTATGCAAGAGCTAAATCTGCCTATTGCAGGTCTTTCTTTAGGCCTGGATTGTTTTCTAAATTATTAATTAGGCATTAATTAACTTATCCAGGCCATAATCAACTCTCGATGGCATCGGATTTCTCCGATATTAAATAGATTAGAACAGTTCAACATGCATTATGCAAGAGCTAAATCTGTCTGTCGCAGGTCTTTCTTTAGGCCTGAAATGTTATCTAAATTATTAATTAGGCATTAATTAACTTATCCAGACCATATTCAACTCTAGATGGCATCGCTAACATGCGATCTTAAGTGGATTATGAGCTGATTTACTGCATAACTTTCCTTCTCGATTCAACGATTAAATGGATAATCGAGACTATGCTGTTTATCGTACTGACTTTAGTAATGATGACCGAGGCTAGGCAGAAAATCATTCGCTTATTTCTCTGTTCGTAATGGATCAATTTGAATGAAATTTTCAGCAAATTGCCTTTACGTTATCTAGTTTTTAATTATTATAGTGAGAACTGCCAACTCGTTATCGTATCTCCCATAATGTATCTTTCAGTCATATTTTGATTTAAGCGAAAACTGAAGGAGCGAGACATAGCTTCGAACAACCAAGACGCTGGTTGAAATTATTGTACAAGTCTTGTCAAACATTCAAAGGCTAATATCTTCTCTCGCAATAGAGTAATTTGAATGAAATTTTCCAATTATTCATTTTGCATTTTCTATTTTCGAACTATTTTAGCGAGAATGGCGAGTTCTTTATCTAAATCTTACATAATGTATCTTTAATTGTTTTCCTTATTTTCAGATTACATGGCAGAACGGTGTCCTCGGGGTTTACTCAAAATGCAGGATTTGGGAATATTTTCAGGACGTCTGCAGCTTACCAATACTCCATTATATTCTGTACTCATGGACTGTCGTATGGTTCTTGTAGCACCACCAGGATTTCACCTGGCTATCCAGTTTGAACTCATGGATCTAGCAGGCAGCAGTAAATATTGTCATGGGGATTACATTCAGCTTCTAGATGGAGCTTCTATACGCTCAATATCCATCAGAGGTAAACTATTTTCTATGTTCTTTACAATTAAATGTAAAATCGTAAAAAAAGGGTATCTAAATATCCAATGTTCCTTTTTATGTCCGTATTGCACACAGAGATCTATCTATTTCATAGAATACATCTCAGTCCTTTTCAATTCCATTAAATGGAAGTAGAATAAATACGTAAAATGTCGGCCAACTAGCCCAGTATCTGTTCAAAAGAGGTGCTGTCCGTAGACAGACAGCCGAAGTTTAGTATGGTTGGGCTCGCGACTCACGGTGACTCAGTGAGCGAGGTCCTTACTCCATTCCGCTTTTGGCCGAGAAAATTATTCGTGATTTTCCTTGCCCTGTCCCTACCCATCGTGTCAGTGTTGCAGGGCGTATAGCCTGGTAAGGACAAATATCTTGTCGTCAATGGTGACTCAGTGAGCGAGGTCCTTACTCCATTCCGCTGTTGGCCGAGACAATTCCTTGTGATTTTCCCTGCCCTGTACCTACCCACCGTGTCAGTGTTGCAGCTAGGATTTAAGGGGGTGATATGAGATATGAGTCTGTACTTGGATGAACTTGTAAATTACTTATATTATAATCGTTATGAATCTACACACTGCAATGAAGAATCTCATGCCTAATGCTAGGTTTTCACTATCACGATTCGTGAGTAATCGTGGTGATCCTATCACGTCGTATCAGTCGTAGCAATCGTGTTGATCGTATCGAAACGGGGGGTTGGATGGCTGAATGGTTAGCGTGCGCGCGCTGTATCATAAAGCCTGTCATTGAGTCAACTGGCGTGGTTTCGAATCCCCGGTTGTACGTGACAAGGAGTAGGGTCGCCTGTCCAACCTCGTGGGTTTTCTCCGAGTCCTCCGGTTTCCTCCCACTGCGCAAGCGAATTATGTAAATAAAATTAAACCATATGTTAGTCCCGAAATGACCTAGTTTGTGTCGAGTGGACTTAAAGCCCCATTTCTCTCATTCTCTCTAGTGGAGAATGGTGATAGGGACAGTTGTCAGGGGGCAGGGTTAATGTCCACTCGATACGAATGATGTCATTTCTGTTTTAACATTGTATGGTTATTTTTTTTTTCGATCAACTAACATATGGTTTAATTTTATTTCAATAATTCGCTTGCGCGTAGGGGTCTTTAGCAGTGGGAGGAAACCGGAGGACCCGGAGAAAACCCACGAGGTTGGACAGGCCACCCTCACCTTGTCACGTACAACCCACGACAGTGCGAACCTAGCATTAACACAGATCCAGCAGGAAAGTATGACATTCTACCCTAAAATTTTTCCGACGTGGTTTCCCCTTCTCAGTGGTGCAGAACGGAGGGCCTGACAAGGACAGCTGTCTAGTCCTTCGGATGAGACGGAAAACCAATGTCCCGTGTATACATTAGAATGCACGTAAAAGATCCCTTGGCAGTTGGAATTCGATATAAGAGTAGGCGATAGTGCCGCTGCCCGGGCAAAATTTCCCTCTTAGCACACTGTATGGCGTATGCCCGTCTTCATTAGCCCAGTATAGGAGCAGAACAGTAGGACGTTAAACCACATTTCATTTCATTTCTCTACCCTAAATTAGGATGCTAATTGATTTCAGTTTATTGAGGATCCCCTGTCGTCATAATCCCAGATCGAGCAGAAACATAGGACATTAATCCCCAATTCATTTCATTGCCGTGAGGACCCATAATTATGTAAGGTGGGGGTTGGTGGCCGAAAGGTTAGCGTGTGCGCGTTGTATCATAAGGTCTGTTATTGAGTCAACTGGCATGGTTTCGATTCTCTGCTTGTACGTGACAAAGATTAGGGTCGCCTTCCATCCTCGTGGCTTTTCTCCGGGTCCTCCGGTTTCCTCTCACTGCTAAAGACCCCTACAGGCAACCAAATTATTAAAATAAAACCGAACCATATGTTAGTCCTGAAATGACCTAGTTTGTGTTGAGTGGACGTTAAACAAGCTCTCTCTCTCTCTCTCTCTCTCTCTCTCTCTCTCTCTCTCATTTCAGTGAGGATCCATAACGATGTAATGTATATAATAGTCGCTATCACAAGTCTATCTGGTAATCGTGTTAATAACAGTTAACACGGTCTATTTGAGGGGAACGGTTACAATGAAGCCTAATTCATATGTTGACAAAATAAACCGCGGCTAGACAGTATACAAAATTTACGCTATTGACAACCCCGCGTATGCCATTCATTAAATACCAGTTCCGGCGAGTACTCGGGATCGGAGAATTGCTTAAGTGGTTAATTTCAATGTTTTGAGTAGACTTGCGTTTCAATATTTGCTAAACGAACACTTGCTTACATTGTGATATCGTTGTCTGAAATGTTCCGTTTGATTTCGTGTGAAGGAATCTTGGCAATATGTATTTATATAAGTGTTAGTTTTCTCCGAAAATAACGTATTGTTCAATGAAAAGGTTATTCTAAAGATGTAGCGATTACACACGATCTTGGCGATTAAATTCTAATGGTTTTTGTTATAAATGGGGAAAGGAGGGGGATTTCCAGTTTGTACGTGACAAGTAGTAGGGTCGTCTGTCCAACTTCGTGGGTTTTCTCAGTGTCCTCCGGTTTCCTCCCACTGCTAAATACCGCCATGGGCAAGCGAATTATTGAAATCAAATTGAACCATATGTTAATCCAAAAATGAACCAGTTTATGCCAAGTGGATGTTAAACCCTATTTCTACCCCTCTCTTTGTTAAATTTCTAAATCAAAAAGTTTCTATCAAAGACTTTAAAGGTACATTATGGGTGATTAGATAAGGAGTTGGCAGCTCTCACTGTAATAGTTAAAAACTAAATAATGTAAAGGGAATTTGCTGAAAATTTCAGTCAAATTGGTCTACTCTGAACCGAGATTTTAGCAATGGAATTTTCGGCCTAGCCTCGATCATCATTACTAAAATCGGTACGATAAAAAAAAACATAGTCTCGATTATCCATTTCATGATCAAATCATGAATGGAAGTCGAACGGCAAATCGGAACCTAATCCAATAAACATCGCAGGCTAACGATGACATCGAGAGTTGATTATTGTCTGGATAAATTAATTAATGTCTAATTAATAATTTATATAACAGTTCAGGCCTAAAGAAAGACCTGCAATAGGCCGATTTGGCTCATGCATAATGTATATTAAAGGGAATAAACATATCAGTAGCCCGTTCTAAGATAAATATCATTTGTTTATAAGTGAATGAGCTGCTTAACCAACTACACACATACATAATTAATTAAAAGTACGGTGCTCAGTGCAAAGTCAATTAAAGTCGCTGATTCGATCGAGAATGTTTCAAACAACCTTAAATTTTTCAAGACTTAATCTACGCTAAATTGTTCTCAAATTAATTATTTAATATTTAATTAAGAAACAAAATACCATGGATAATGTTTGGTGTTGAACTGAAACGGGTGACACAGGGGACCATTAACTGATTGTATTCAACACTGTTTATATGGTGTGGTAAAGTGGGTAAGACGCTGGCTCGCTAGCCTGGAGGTCGGGTGTTCGAAAGTTTATCCAGAGTTTCCGGCGTGGTTCCTCCTTGTCAGTGATGCAGGACGGAGGGTCTGACAAGGTCAGCTGTCTAGTCGTTCGGATGGGACTGAAAACCGAGGTCTCGTGTACACATTGGCGTGCGCGTAAAAGATCCCTTTGATATAAGAGTAGACGACCGTAGTGCCGCTCATAGCACACTGTATGGCGTTAAACCACATGTCATTTCATTTCTGTTTATATGGTAGGCAAAGGATGCTGAACGTAATTTTCATTTCAGCATATCTTTGTAAATACTTTTATCCAAACACAACGATTTCTCGACTGATACTTTTTTTAGAGTTTTCACTTTCGTATGACGACAACTAAATTTGTAGTTTTATTTCATTTTTATTTTTTTTATTATTATTATTATTTATTTTTTTTTGGAGGGTGGTGGGGCGGCGGCGAATGGTTTAACGCGTGTGCGCTAAATGATAAGGTCTAACATTGAGCCAAGTAGCGTGGTTCCGATTTCCTGCTTTTACGTGACAAGGAGTTGGGTCGCCTGTCTAATCTAGAATATTTTCTCCTGGTCTTCCGGTTTCCACCCACTGGAGGACGTTAAACACCCACTCTCTCTGGTCCTCCGGTTTCCTACCACTGCTAAAGACCCCTACGCGCAAGCGAATTATGAAAATAAAAAGATTAAACCATATGTTAGTCCCGAAATGACCTAGTTTGTGTCGAGTGGACGTTAAACCCCATTTCTCTCTCTCTTTCTCTCCCACCCCCTCTCTTTCTCTCTCTCGCTCGCATGTTAGTCCCAAAATTACCTTGTTTATGTCGAGTGGACGTTAAAACTCCATCTCTCTCTCTCATCTCTCTCTCTCTCTCTCTCTCCGCCCCCCCCCCTCTCTCATCTCTTTTATTAGCCCCGTTGGTGAGGAAAGGTAGGACATTAAACTCCATCACATTTCCTTTTGTAAAATGTAGCTTACTTTGACACTCCAAGTAATAGTATTCAATTTATTTCTTCAGGTAAGCAATCAGACAAACTTAAAACGATTACTTCAACTACTCAATGTCTGGCTAATGTTCTATCAAGATTTTCTTTATTTTTACAGGCATGCCTTTGAATGATCGCCTTTGTGGTAAAAAACTTCCAAAAGAGGAACTGACGTCACGTGGTAATACAGTAACAGTTCGTTTCTATAGTGATCTGTCTATGCAGGAAACGGGATTTCGTCTCATTTTCTCAGCGTTTCATTCAGGTGATTTTTGATTGACGTTGTTTTAGGCTTAGATAATTATTTATTAAATGGACGCGGTTTGTAATAAGACGACATTATAGATATTTCTTACAATCACGACTACAAAATCAGGAGCGGATCCAGGAATTTTTGCAGGAGGGGGTTTGCCAGGTTCCTGTCAAGGTAATGTGACTGTTGACAATGTATGATGCCATCATCGTCTCTAAATTAAGTAGGCATACATACACATTGAGCTTTTTAAAGAGAGAAATCCAACACCCCGTTTGACGTCAATTTTTATTATGAATTCATAGGATCACATTGTGATTCAATTTCATTGATACAAAGCATTAATTGTGATATCACATACGTCAGTATCATTATCTCGCGCTTTGAATACCAATCCCATCCCAACATCTGATGATAAAGGATAAAGCACACGACCTTGACATTTTTCTCATAAAAAGTGTTGTTTTACAAAGACTTTTATGTAGCTGAGTCGGAGGGGGGGGGGGGGATAACCCATCCCCGCCCCTGGATCCACCTCTCCTTGGTGTTATAATTTAAGCGCGTGGGGATGGTTGCATTTTCTAGTTCAGCTCTTAATTTGTTGGAAATGGAGCCACGGAGATTCATTGAGTAAAGCTCTGGCTCAGCTACCAGGGTACGATCCGGGCCTAGGTCGATTGGGGGCGGGGGACTGGCAAGAAAAGGCGTGTAGTCGTTCGTATGGCACGGAAACTTGAGGTCCCGTGTACATGCGTGTGTGCGCACTTAAAATAACCTTTGGAAGTTAGAATTGAGATGCTGTCCGTCTTTGGTTTATTTAATTCACTCGATTTGTGAGATGACTGGCGGGTAATTGCTTCAAGTGTGTCGTATAATAGCTTCCGTCTCAGACGGCTTTATGCTTATTTACGGCCGAGATCGACTGCTTTGAAAAATAATACTCACCCCATTTTGTTTTATAGAACCAATATTTTATTTCATATGTAATTATGATTGGGGAACCCTCTTCAGTATTTACGAAAAAGACATAATATACATGGTTAATGTGAGAATTTTAACGAGATATTCTTTTCGTTGATATTCAAGAAACTGTGGCGTGCACGTAAAAGATCCCTTTACAGTTGGAATTCGATATAAAAGTAGGCCGTAGTGCCACTGCCTTCGTAAAAATTTCCTCATAGCACACTAAATGGCGTATGCCCGTCTTCATTAGCCCAGTTTAGAAGCAGAACAGTAGAACACTAAACCCCATTGCATTTCATTTCATTTAAATTCGGTCTTTAACGTGCAGTCAATGATTTATCCTGGGGAACTTCAATCATCTCCAGAATCGCACCCAGGGTCTCCTGGTTAATTGGGCGGACCGGGGTGGGGTTTGGGGTTGGGGTGGGGGGGTATGGTTCAGTGGATTTAGCTTTATCTAAATCACCAGTGCGTACCGTTTTCGATCCCAGCGTTGACCCATTCTCTGGATTTTTCAGCCTAGATTCAGGGTGGGTCTGACTATCTGACTAGAAAAAGACGTCTAATCCTTCGGGTGGGACGAAAAACAAAACAAATCCACCTGTGTTCTGTTTGGCATGCAGATAAAGAATCCTTAACAGTTGGAATTCAATCAGGAGCAGCTGGAAGTTTTGCGGTCCTGGAAAAAATTGACTCATGCCCCTTTTTTTCACTTGGCCTGTTAGTGCAAAAAAAGTAAGACGTTTAAATCCCATTTTATTTTATTTCATACCCACTGCGCAACCGTGGGTCTTTTAAATCTTACAGAATATACCCCTTTAATGTCTTCTACGGTAGTCCATCTGTCTCTTTAATATCGCATTGAATTCCTGCAATAATAGTAATAATATCTTCTACCGCCCCACTTAATATCGCATTGAATTCATGCAATAATAGCAAAACTATCTTCTACCGTACCAGCCCATTTTTCCATTTAACATACAAATGTGATGTCATCCTTTGAAGTTGGTGTTCCATTATTTCAAATAATGGTACGGGCAATGTACCAAGCGTACACTATTAATAGTAGTTGAAATTTTGGACTCGCCTGACGTATTTTAAGTTGTTTAGTGGTCTCGAGCTTAAGACATTGCGTAATATATTGAAACAATAGCTCAGGAACTGACGTCCCTCGTGTTGTTTCAATATATTACTTAATGTCTAGCTCTTGACCATTAAACTACACTCAATATCGCATCGAAGTCCTGCAATAATAGCAATAATATCATCTACGATGCTACCCCGTCTTTCCATTTAACATCGCATTGAATTCCTGCAATAATAGTAATAATAATAATGGCACACTAGACTTCAATCGATATGGAACGTTGATGAAAATTACCACGATTCCAGCAGATATACAAAACAAATTTTTAAATATTTCTTTCTACAATTAGTCTAGACACTCATGGCCATTTTAATTGACCGTATATCTTAAGAAAACTCCCCATGAAGAAGAACTTATATTATAATTCCTGATGTGGGAAGAGGCAATTGATAAATGAACTTGGGAATAAAATTTGTAGGCATGCCTATAAAACACTCATTAATTTCAGGCAATGATAACATCTCTAGGGAAGTTTCACTTCTCTTATGGAAGCTGGAGCTCGTTTTTTGAATTATTTCCAATCACAATGTCCTCGTTTGTGTTTTCTGAAATTTAATTAAAACCGACGGTGAATAATTCAAATTGATTAGTATAGTAAACACTTCAAATATAATTTGAGATGTTTTTTGAGACGGATTGACGTTTTATTCCCTCATCAAATCAACTGGCGTGGTTTCGATCCCCCCGTTGTGCGTGACAAGGAGTAGGGTCGTCTGTCCAACCTCGTGGGTTTTCTCTGGGTCCTCCGGTTTCCTCCCACTGCAAAAGATCCTAACACGCAAGCGAATTATTGAAGTGAAATTGAACCATATATTAGTCCTGAAATGACCTAGTTTGTGTCGAGTGGACGTTAAACCCTCTCTCTCTCTCTCTCTCCCTCTCTCTCTCTCTCCCTCTCTTGTATTAAGACATATGACGCGTTATGGAAGTATACGTTTTTTATAAATAAAAATTACTACAATTTTACCAGACAATTTCTCAATTGAAAACCATTAGCTCAAGCCAATCATGTTCTCAAAATTCCTTTGTAAATATTATGCTTTGAATCGAACATTAAAAGGGGAATAACTCGTTTCGAACAAAAGAGCTTTGTCATTAATATTTTTACGTAATCTCTCGCCCCCCCCTCCCCTCCTCTTGTGAGTCCGTCTTCGTTTTATGTTAAAGACCGCAGCACCACTACGAGGCTCTTAGTCTGAGCATATGCCCAATTTCAAATGTACTGAGAGCATATGTCATTGACACAACCGGCGTGATTCCCCCTTGTCAATGATGCAGGACGGAGGGCCTGACAAGGACAGTTGTCTAGTCCTTCGGATGAGACGAAAAACCGAGGTCCCGTGTATACATTGGAATGCACGTAAAAGATCCCTTGGCAGTTGGAATTCGATATAAGAGTAGGCGATAGTGCCGCTGCCCGGGCAAAATTTCCCTCATGACACACTGTATGGCGTATGCCCGTTTTCATTAGCCCAGCCAAGGAGCAGAACAGTAGGACGTTAAACTCCATTTCATTTCATTGACACAATCTGATTAAAACACAGATCCTATTTCGTTTCGTGTTTTATAGTTCAAAATTTCGTTTTACTTGTCTTCACTACACTAGGATCTGGAAGAGTTGTTATATAACAAGCGTTCTGATTGATGTGAGGGATTAACCAATGAAACGGTCTGTTACGGCGAGTTCTTGGCGTGCCATGCACGGAACTGTGGGTAAACCACTAGAAACGTCAACACGGATTGATTAATCAATGTCTGACGTCATCGGGTCAAAAGCCGCTCGTACAACCCCTGACACGGCCTTCGAGTACAACTGGTTAGATCTTCATGTAGTGTAGGCCATCGAAAGTATAAAAATACGAAACGAAATATAGATCTGTATTTTAATCAGATTCGTCATAGACAGAAAATTCCCAAGAATCACGTAATTATTACTAAATTATCATATATTTTTTTTAGGGAGGTGTAATTCATCGGAGTTTAAATGTGAGAATGGGCGGTGCATGAATAAAGTATTATTATGTGATGGAGTAGACAATTGTGGTGATGAATCGGATATATGCGGATTATCTGAGGCTGGAAAAGCTGGATTAGTGCTGCTGTGTATAGCTGTTGTATTATTTGTTATTTTCTGTGGACTGTGGTGCACGTATAAAGAACCGCCAAAAGAAGACGTCAACCAAAAGGGGCCTAATTCAAGGCCTAATAAAGTAAGTAAAAGTAAGTTGGGAATGGTGTTTTCTTGTAGATTAGCTTATTTTGCCAGATAAAGGATAATATTGGTGTCAGCCATTATCACATATATGCTAGAACTGGTTAAACCCGTTCCATATATGATTTTAACACGGAGATCATTACTACGATAGATGCGTAACGAAGATTTGAAGAAACGGAAATGACGAAAGCAAACGCAAAACACGAGTTATATAACTGACTGAAGTAACGAGCGATAACAGATACACGGGCGTATCTCTGCTCACTGATAATTCCCTCGAAGACCAAAAGTTGTTGCTTTCGTCACTTCCGTTTCTTCAAAGCAATGATCTCTGTGTTAAAATTATATTTGCAACGTGTTTAACCAATTCTATATCATATGTAATAATGACTGACAACATTATTGTCCCTTAAAGATGCTTTATATAAGATTTAGAGAAAGGGCTGGTCGTTCGTGCTATAATAGTTCAAATATGGATAATGAAATATGAATATATTGAAAATTTCAGTAAAGATATTGGTGTTTTGACAATCTAGTTTTGATTGTCAAATACAAAGTCTCCGTGGGGGTCACGGTGGCTAAGTGGGTAAGACGCTGGCTCGCTAGCCTGGAGGTCGGGTGTTCGATCCCTGCATTGGCCGAGAAAGTTCATCCAGATTTTCCAGCGTGGTTTCCCCTTGTCAGTGATGCAGGACGGAGGGCCTGACAAGGACAGCTGTCTAATCGTTCGGATGGGACGAAAAACCGAGGTCCCGTGTACACCTTGGCGTGCACGTAAAAGATGCCTTGGCAGTTGGAATTCGATATAAGAGTAGGCCGTAGTGCCGCTGCCCGGGCAAAATTTCCCTCATAGCACACTGTATGGCGCATGCCCGTCTTCATTAACCCAGTTGAGGAGCAGAACAGTAGGACGTTAAACCCCATTTCATTTCATTTCATTTCACAAAGTCTCCGAAGCCAAAAAGAAAACCTTGTAATAGTAGATTTAGTTCTTTCATAATGCATCTTTTATTTTTGGAATGACGTAAACTGGTGGACGGACGTTTCGGCCCTAGAGGTTGAAGTACCTAAATCTCTAACTCAATATCATCCAAAGTCTTCGACATTGAAAACAAGAATTATTTGTCAATTTAAATCAACATTGATGCTGTGATCTTACCGGGAAAAGACGGGCTGCTGATATCATTAAGACAAAATTTTAAAAATTGGACACGATTTGCGTGCCAGAATTCTTTCGAGTGCCATTTGTAATGAAGCGACTCGGTGAACGAGGCTAAGCATATCCCACAGGAGAATACTAGGTCCCAAATATTAGCGATTTAACTCCTTTAAAGCTACCGTGGTTAAATTAAAAAAGAACAGTTGGTCAATTAAATCCCTTTTTAATGTGATTAGCCCAATGATCCTATTTTTAAATTCAAAGGTATAACAATTTGAATAATTATTTTACAGAGGGCATCCTCAGTGACTAACACCAGTACATTAACAACGGCAAGTCCGTACTTAAAACGGACTCCTGATATAAGTGTTTCACGCAGTACCCCTTCACCAAACGAAAATTCCAGGGCACCTTTAGTTAAACATGATGCTGACGACTTGTGATGAAGGACATGGTGGTGATGGTCGTGGTGGTGATGGTCATGGTCTTAGTGGTGGTGATGATGTTCTTGGTTCTGATGGTCATTGGTCATGGTGGTGATGTCTTGAGAATGGAAGAAAGATATGTCAGTGTTTCTAATTGTGGTTTATAACTGCTGATGATTGTTGCAAATCTTATGTGGTATTGTATTTGAAAGAAACAACTGAATCCCAAACATACGCACAGGAAAAACTGGATTCACAAAACGTTATTGTTACATATATGTGACTTGCTATTACTGTGGACCCCGGCGACTAGATTCACAAAATGTTATTGTTATTAATAAGGAACCGCTAAATCCTCAAAATGATTTATATATTATTGTTATGGAAAGAGATGACTGGATTCACAAAATATTATTGTTTTTAAAAGGAATCGCTGAATCCTAAACCTGACATGTTATTATACTAGACAGTGATGACTGGATTCACAAAATGTTATTGTATGTTATTAAAAGGAACCGCTGAATCATAAACATATCTGACATATTATTGTTATGTAATGGGGCGACCAGATTCACAAAATGTTATTGTTTTTAAAAGGAACCGCTGAATCCTCAAAACGATTGTTATATTGTTGTCATGGAAAGGGACGACTGGATTCTTGACATATTATGTGATAAGATACTTACTGATAAATTATTGACTGTCTTGGGATGTGACAAGAACACTGGCAATCAACGGTTTATTGAATACGTCCTTCTATTGTTCATTGGTTTTCAACGAACGGGTCAACGTTTGTTTACGTTTTGAATGTTTGGTAATGGCTGACAGAGCTGGATGTAAACTTTATTTATGGTGTGCGGCATTTGTTTTGGTTTTCAGAGATCGATCAGTATTCCACCCTTATTGTGTACCACTATATGGTATAATAATTCGTCGCGTTTTTGGCGAACCGACGAATCTGATATATTTAAGTATTGAGAATTATGCGCATACTAAACTTAGGCTGTCTGTCTACAGTTATCTCCCCTTGAGAACAGACACTAAGCTAGTTGACCGACATTTTAAATCCTAAATCGACGATTTTAGTCGAAAACACAAAGTAAACGTCGAGAATTTTGTTAAGGGTTTATTCTGCTTCCATTTAATACAATTGAAAAAATGTATTAAGTCTTTCTATGTATGACAGATGTGAAAACGAGATGAACCGCATTACAAAACAGTATACTAAATGGCGGCTATTTAGGGAAGAGATCTATTCTCGAAGTATGAAGTATATGGATCTCTGTGTGCAGAATGGAGCCTAACTAGACACACACACGCGGAATGAATTATACGTTCTGTTGTTATCTCTGTGGCCATCAAATAATAACGTTTATGTAAATGGCGTTCGGTGTCCTGATGTATATCTATCAACTATTAAATCACAAATGAATGTTATTATTTGATGTCCACAGATATAACAACAGAACGCAAATTTCAGACACATAATTCTCAATACTTATATATATGAAGAGTCCAGGGGAAGAACGATCCAAGTAACATTTTTCTCTTTTCGCATAAAAGGCAAAACAGACTTTTGGACGAGAATGCTTGACGGAACAGAACAACAAGTGGGTTTAATTACAACTTCAAAATGATGTTTAATACGAATCATAATTACCAGTACAACAACTGACTTGCACTTTTCAGCCATATTAAGGTCAAATAAAGGATACGATAGACTTGTATTTGTCCGGGAGGCCATTTCAGAAGGGCCTTGGTTCGATGTGACTCCGATCTTTTTTACCTGAAATTGATTGTTCCACAGAAAGCTTGTGCAATTTGCTACCAGATGGTGCTATTAACTGGGGTTCGTTGAAAAGGTGACTTAGGTCGTTCTTCCTCGGGGCTCTTCATATCAGATTGGTCGGTTCGATAGAAACGCGACGAATTATTACATATAATTTACCACTTCCTCCGTTACAAACCCAGTGCCTATAGGATTTGCCTTAATACAACTACTATGCAGTTGTTCTACGGTATGGATAATTGTATTTTGGAAGAGAGTCTGTTTCCCACTGGCTCAGGAGGTTTAGCTTGTAGTGAGTGAGCTCAGGAGATTTCCTTTCAGGTGGATGCACTAACGACAACCGTATGATTCAAGCCCTGCTTTATGGAGATATATACTAACTGTTGCCAACTCAGTTCTTTCAGATAATATCAAGATTCCATGGAACTGAGACAACTGTGCACTATTACGGAATTCGTTGTGATTTTTAAAGTATATTTGTTCTTTAACAACTTAATAAAGAAAATTCTTTGAAATATTTTAATCACGCAACGCGACATTGTATTCAAACTTTTATAGATAACCCTCACTTAACGAAAGAAGATTATCTACATAGAGAATGGCGGAGAAATTTCATCGGAAATGGAATATAACCAATCGGATTAAAATACAGATCTATATTTCGTTTCGGTTTTTTTTATACTTTCGACGGCCTACACTACACGAAGATCCGACCGGTTGTAGTGTAAGGTCGGGTCAGGGGTCATAGAGAGGATTTTGACCCTATGACGTCAGACATTGATTATTCAATCAGCGTTGACGTTTCTAGTGGTTTACGTAAAGTTCCGTGCACCCCATGCCAAAAAACACGCGCCGTAACAGACCGTTTCATTGGCTAATCTCTCACATCATCCAGAACGCGGGTTATATAACAACTCTTCAAGATCCTAGTGTAGTAAAGACAAGTAAAACGAAATTTTGAACTATTAAAACGAAACGAAATAGGATCTGTGCTTTAATCAGATTGGAATACAACCGTGTTCGGATTATTAACACTGCTGCACGAGCTATGTCAATAGCTATATACATGTATATATACTTTAATAATTTTATTTATTATTGATTGATTATTGATTATTGATATATAACAACGATTAAAGAAATGCACATGCAATGCATTGATTCATTTTATTTATTACACCAATGTATTTAATGGTCCCTTTTCACATTTTCACATCCGTGCTTTGTTATGTTTTAATTATGGAAATGTTAATGTACATTTTTTTTTTTATTACTTCATAAAATTTGAAACATGTTTTATTGTTGTTGTTTTTTCTAAATTTGATCCGATTAAAACAAGTGTAGGTCTACCGACGAACGGTTTATTAAGAGTTATTCCCCTTTAATCAAAACTAAACCATTCTTGTGCTTAACTGATACAGTTACCACAAAGTTTCTTTTCTTTTTAAAGGAAAAAATAAAATGAAATGAAAGAGAGAGAGAAATGGGGTTTAACGTCCACTCGACACAAACTAGGTCATTTCGGGACTAACATATGGTTTAAATTTTTATTTCAATAATTCGCTTGCGCGTAGGGGTCTTTAGCAGTGGGAGGAAACCGGAGGACCCGGAGAAAACCCACGAGGTTGGAGAGGCGACCCTACTCATTGTCACGTACAACCGGGGATTCGAAACCACGCCAGTTGACTCAATGACAGGCTTCATGATACAGCGCGCACGTGCTAACCATTCGGCCATCCAACCCCCTCCCCCCCCCCCCCAAAAAAAATGAAATGAAATGAAATGAAATGGGGTTTAACATCCTACTGTTCTGCTCCCACTGGGCTAATGAAAACGGGCATACGCCATACAGTGTGTCATGAGGAAATTTTGTCCGGGCAGCGGCATTATGGCCTACTCTTATATCGAATTCCAACTGCCAAGGGATCTTTATGTGCACGCCAATGTATTCACAGAATCTCGGTTTTTCGTCACATCCGAACGACTGTCGTTGTCATGCCCTCCGTCCTACACCACTGACAAGGGATCGAACTCGCGACTTCCGGGCTAGCGAGCCGGTGTCTCACCCACTTACCCACCGTGGAGCCCGATGCGATTAAAACAAGTATACTACATTAGATAGTTGAATACCCACGAGCGGTTTATTAAGAGTGTTTCCCCACGTAATAAAATTTTGAATGTAAAGAAAGGTTTATCATTTTTAAAGGGAATAACAGTCTGGTGATTCGAAGTTCTATGTTCGAAGCTACATTTTAATAATACTTCCGGTTTTCGAAGTTACAATATTTCCGATTTTGAGAAAATTGGGTATTCCGACACTCTGCATAATCCGACATATTGTAACGATCCCGTACGATGTCGGATGTGACAGAGTGCACTGTATTATCTTATGAATTCGACGCATGCGTTGTTGTGCGAAATCCCCCTAGTTTGTGTCGAGTGGACGTTAACCCCCCCCCCCCATCTCTCTCTCTCTCTCAATAAAGTTCAGCAATAAAGATCGATCACTGTCGTAGGCCATCGAAAGTATAAAAAAAACGAAACGAAATATAGATCTGTATTTTACTCAGATTGTGTTTAATGTATCATACAGATCATTATTATTATTTTACGTCCTCTTCCACCGAGGTGATATCGCAGACAAATCATTGTTAATTTCTAGCTTGATATTTACAGGAACAGCCAACGCTGATGGGCTCCCATACTTTATTATACTGCATCACTGACTCCCCTGTAACAGGATGCCTGCTGCAACCCGCTCGTCTTAAAACACGGCTATAGGTGAAGACTCTCTCACAACCATAATCTCGTCGCTCTCGTTCGTCTTGTCGTTGACAATGTCCACACGAACATTTCGACTGGATAATGGTTGACGGAACACGGTCGGGATCATAATCAATCACTTGATAAGATGGACAAATATTTCCGCCATGTCTGCGAACAGTTCGTCTAGCATCATGACATCCCTGTTCACCTCTGAATGGAAGTGTTTTGGCATGTTCGGAGCTCTTATGGTCGACGTTGACGGCCATTTTCCTAAAATTTGACATCATGAGAAAGCTTGGGTGTAGTATGTCAGGGTCGGGTGTCTTGATAGAACGAAGAAGCTCGGCTGTATCCGGCTCTCTGCAACTCCCTTGCTCGTTCCATGAACGCTCAGAAGCCACAGCCAGCATCCATGACATGAGAAAAGCTGTGGTGAAAATTCCTGGAAAAATGAAAGAATTTTATCACACATGCATTTATAATTCTAGGTATAGACATATATCCTTATTTATTATATTGAGGAATCTGAGAGGTTCCAAGCTGGGTCAGTAGCCAATCGAAATTAGTGACGAAATATGCAGGGTATTACGCGAAGGGCTTGATAAGATATATGGAATTAAAAGCGAGATGAAGCCTTCTATTGAAGCGGCCTATCCAAGCGGGGGTTGGGGGGGGGGGGCGAATGGCTAGCGCGTGCGCTCTGCATCACAAGGTCTGTCATTGAGTCAAGTAGTGTGGTCTCGTCGATTTCCCGGTTGTACGTGACAAGGAGTAGGGTCGCCGAGTCTTCAAAACAGGAATGAAATGGGGTTTAACGTCCTACTGTTCTGCTTCGACTGGTCTAATGAAGACGGGCATCATACGCCATACAGTGTGCTATGAGGGAAATGGTGCCCTGGCAGCGGTACTATGGTTTACTCTTATATCGAATTCCAACTGTCAAGGGATCTTGTTCGTGCACGCCAATGACTACGGGGAACCTCGGTTTATCGTCCCATCCGAACGACTAGACGGCTGTCCTTGTCAGGCCCTCCGTCCTACATCACTGACATGGGGAAACCACGCCGGAAAATCTGGATGAACTTTCTCGGCCAATACAGGGATCGAACACCCGACCTCCAGGCTAGCGAGCCAGCGTCTTACCCACTTAGCCACCGTGGCTCCACTTTAAAACAGGAATTGGGCTGAATAATGGGGAGAGACAATGTCTTCATTAATCTACGCCAGGGATATTAAAATATTTATACGGCACACAATCTGAATGGAAAAGAGACTAATATTATCTTCCTTTAAAAGAAAAACAAAATAGCCTAATATATAATTTGAAGAAAAAAAAAGATACATATTTTTTTTTACCTGAGATGGTACATTCTCATTTAAAGATACAGTATGAGGGATTCGATAACGAGTTGGCAGTTCTCACTATAATAGTTAAAAACTAGATAATGTAAAGACAATTTGATGAAAATCTCAATCAAATTGATCCACTATGAACCGAGAACTAAGCGGTTGAAATTTCCGGTTAGCCTTGATCATCATTACTAAAGTCAGTACGATAAACAGCATAGTCTCGATTATCCATTTAATCGTTAAATCGTGAAGGAAAGTTATATCGGCTCATAATCCACTAAAGATGGCAGGCTAGCGATGTCATCTAGAGTTGATTATGGTCTGGATAGGTTAATTAATGTCTAATTAATAATTTAGATAACATTTCAGTCCTAAAGAAAGACCTGCAATAGACAGATTTAGCTCTTGCATAATGTATGTTTAAAAGAAAACCAAAATCGCCAAGAATATAAAATTAAAGAAGAAAAGGGTGTATATATCTTTACCTGAGAACGACATCATAAAATCTAGCATAACAGTTCAATACATAAATGCAAATAATGAACCTCCTGTCACCCCCTTTTTATAGTAAGTAGCGGGTTACGTCTAAGTGACGAAATACCACTTGAAAGTTTTTCCGTAACGAAAGTTTTCTTTTGTGTGAAATACATGTATTAATTTCCTCTACAAAATAAAAAATAAAAAACGACAGTGTTTACTGTCTTAAATTGACTTCCATTTCGACATTTGTGCGTGTGGGTATAAATTTGTGTATAAAAGAGCCACCTGATTTCTAAAGATTTTGTGATTGATATTATTATTGTTCAGAAATCAATAAATTTTACCCCAATAAAAATCATATCAATAGAATCGCCAACCATGGGCTAATTATGTCCTTACACGTTTTCTTCTATTAAATTGTTCCATGATATTTTTTCTCAAGCTAGTTTAGATGAAAACAAAGGAAATCAATTTTAAAGGAACTAAGTCTCTAATTCAATATTTTCCATAATATTCGAAATTAAAACACAGATTAGAATTTAATAACATAATATTTTCCATAATATTCGAAATTAAAAACACAAATTAGAATTCAATATTGGTCCATTTAATCCATATTGATGTTGTTATGTTGTTATGTGGGATTCTAATATCTAATATTTAAGACACAATGAACGTTTTAAAATATGGTACACGAGTCGTGTACCATATCGTTTCGGGCGCAAAACCAGCGAACAAAGAAAAACATATGCTAAAATACCATATCGTTTCGGGCGCAAAACCAGCGAACAAAGAAAAACATATGCTAAAATACAATGCGGCAGTAAACAGTAATGGTTGATTCACAAATGATAAAATATTAATTAAAAAAACGTGAAGAATGGGCCAATTAGGCGTAAACTATTGTCGTTCAGTTAGGACTGTTCGCGTATTTCACCGAACATAATTGATTAGAAATTACAATGTTTTTTTTTTTTAAATTGAATATAAAGCATTTTACATACATTTATATTACTTGTGAATCTATATTTCGTTTCGTTTTTTATACTTTCGACGGCCTACACTACATGAAGACCTGACCAGTTGTACTGGGAAGTCGTGTTAGGGGTTATACGAGCGATGTTTTGTCTTATGACGTCAGACATTGATTAATCAATCAGCGTTGATGCTTCTAGGGGTTTAACCACAGTTCCGTGCAGAGCACGCCAAGAACTCGCCGTTACAGACCGTTTCATTGGCTAATTCCTCACACCAACTAGAACGCCTGTTATATAACAATTCTTCCAGATCCTAGTGTTGTGAAGACAACTAAAACGAAATTTTGAATTATAAAAAAACCGAAACGAAATAAAAAAAAAATAGAGCCACACACCCTTTAAACTAGGCCGGTTCTCTTCTGGTAAATAAAACACAGGAAAAGGGAAGTGTTGTCCCATTGGTTCTAAGCCTAACAATGTCTGCCAGGATATCGGAATAAGACTAAAGCGCCGTCATAACTTCTATTTAACCCAGATTTGTCGGAACTTGTTGAGGATTTCAGTCGACACAGTCCAACATTCTTCAACATGTGTTTGATGAAGTAAGAAGTAAAATATATAGAAAATATTAATGACATCAATCAATGTTTTAAAATGCCCTCTGGGCAGAGCCCGTGAGAGGGGGGACAGCTAGAAATTTCGAGAAATGTTTTTGGACAAA